TGCTCTGCCCAGCGCCGTCAGGAACGGACCATGGACGACGGGGGCGGGACGGAACATCCCCAGAGGACAGGTGCAGCAGAAGGGCGCCTACCCAGCCCAGGGCAGACACCTGCACGGCCCACCGATGCCCACTGCCCCTCACCGAATCTCCACTGCGCCCCCGAATAACCTGGACAATCCTGGCTTCTGCCAGCCGGATGCCCTCGCGCCCCCCAGTGATCACGGGCGGAATTGCTCCAAATGGAGCGTGATGTGCTCCGGTACCTCCCGCTGGCCGCTGGGAGACAGCAGGGCTAAGGCCACAAACCCGCTGCAGCCTAGTGGCCATTTGGGGTTAGCACCCACTGAGCCTTGTGGCCGTGGGCAGAATGGCCTGGGCAGGATGGCACTGCCTCTGCTCCCTGCCAGGGCAGGGGGTTGTTGGTGATCATGGCTCCAAAGTTCATTCTGCCTGCTGGACACGGCAAGATCAGCAGAGGGACTGAGGGACGTCCCAGCTTCCGCTGTTTCTGGCTGCTTCTGCTCCTCTTTTTCTCCTACCCCGCACAGGCCACTCTCCCAGAAGGAACACAGGTTACCGTGCTCACACTCCATTTCCCAACACGCTGCTGAGACGACCACAAGTGGCCTCTGGGAAACCAGCTGCCCTGAGGACCATGCTGCAGGGCGGTGCAGGCGCTGCAGCCTCACATGGGGCCTGCCGTCCTGGGTGTCAACAGAGCCTTCCATGGTTAGGGGAGAGACTGAGTAGGGTTTGATTGACTCTGCTGCAGCAGTCACTCTGCCACAGGCCTGGCATCTCATGGCCACCCGTGAGATTGTGGGTCTCAGTCCCTGGGTCACTAGGACTCTATCAGTATGCCAAAGGCCCCGCCGTCGAAACACTTGCTGTGCACAGTACTCTCTCACAGGGAGATGGAGGCACACCTCCCCTGACAGCAGATGAAATGACCAAGACCCTCCTTGGTCTTCAGGGAGCAAATCTGGGAGACACAGGCCTAGGGGAGGTCAGTCACTGAGCAGGGAGACGGGAAAGGCTCCGGAGCCTTGCACACAAAGGATTGCTGAGCCCGGAGCATCTGCAGAAGCTTCCCAGAGAAGGCTCTGAGCCAAGCCCCTGAGGACGAAGGGCGGGCCAGGAGGCAGGAGAGGCACCCAAGGGGAAAGAATGGCACCGACAGAGGTGTGACACAGTAGGCTCTGTGTAGAGTTTCTGCAAGACTTGAGGCTTCTCCTCCCAGTGTCCTTGGAGGCTTCCTCTGCATTGGCCAGGCCAGGACACTGCTGAGATGGCTCCATGAATAGCTGACCAGCAGGGATAACATGGTGATGTCCGCCACTGATGGGACTCTAGTTTTCAGGAAAACTTAGGCCCAATTGCTGCCTTAGCAGCTATGCCTGGCCTCACAAATGGGCAGGGGAAGGCTGGAGTTGGAATGACAAATCTCATCCAAGATACGGAAGGGAAGGGCCAGGGACACAAGCTGTGGGGGCCTCCTTATCGCTGAGGCCCCGCTTCTCAGAGCTGAGGCAAGGACTGAGCCTTTCCCTTAGTTACAGAGGTCACACACTAGGCCAACGTCAGTGGCTGTGCCTTCCTGACCATTCAGAAGAGAAAATGCCAAGCTTGGGTTCTGGGGATGGTGGCGTGGGAGAAGGAGTAAGTACTAGAACAGGCTTTTGGGCAGGGCACGGTGGCTCACACCTGTAATCCTAGCACTTTGGGAGGCTAAGGCGGGAGGATCGCTTGAGCCCAGAAGTTTGAGGTTGCAGCGAGCTATGATTGGGCCACTGCACTCTAGCCAGGGCAACAGAGTGAGACCCTGTCTCAAAAAGTAAAAATAAAATAAGACAAGCACTTGGAGCCCTCATGAAGAGCCCAAGGAGAACCCATGCCTGCCCTCAGGGAACATCATTCATGCACTTACCATTTGAGTACCTACTGCGTGCTCGGCACTGCCCGAGATACCAGCGATACCGCGGCAACAGAGAACCCAGCACCTGCTTTCATGGAGCTTATCTCCCAGAGAAAGAGACATGATAAGAAGTAAACAAACGAGAACTGATTCGGAAGTGGAAAGTGCTGCAAGGAAATAGAGTCACTGTCACTGTGGGGGTGGCGAGGGCTGTTATTATACGGGGTACTGCGTGAGGGCCCCTCCCAGGATCGACATAGGCTAAGTCAGACATCATGGACGAGAAGCAGCCAGCCTGTGAGTGCCGCTGGTTACAGTCCTCCAAGTGCAAAGGTCCTGGGGCAGGAAGGAAGTTTGCATGACCTCCTGAAGTCATTATCAGCCCACGTGACTCCGAGCAAAAAGACAAGGGCAGGGTGCCTGGAGTGTGCTTCTGGAGGGAGTTAGCTGGATGTGGCCTTTCCTACAGTCCATTTATTTGCTCCACAAAACCATCTCCTCTGAGTCGGTGGTTCTCAACTTTAACATATATCAGGATCAACTGGAAGGACTGTCACATCAGAGACTGCTGAACCCTGTCCCTGGAATTCCAGTTTTATAGGTGTGGAGCGAGACCCCAGAATTTGCTTTTCTAACAAGTTCCAAGGGGATGCTGATTATGCTGCTCTGGGGATCCCAGTCTGAGAACCACTGTGTTAAGGGGATAGGACACTGCTCATGCTGGCTGAGAGGCAGGACAGAATCTCCTTTTAAGCATGATGTGACTGTGCTTCAGGTCACACAAGGACAGAGTCAGGGCAGCCAGGGCCATGGCACTTCTGGCTGCTGTTGGGATAGGAGAGCTGGCACTTGCTTCTGGGTGCTCTCTGATCTCCGCATGTGGTGTCGGCAGATGGAGCCAATGGCCTGAAGCTGGCCACAGCTTACCTGGGGGCCCATCTCCTCCACCTGATCTGTCTTCTCAGGCCTCCTCAACACAGGAGGCCACACAGAGGAGTAAGGTTGACTCATTCTGGCCTCCTGGCCCAGGGGCAGGAAACGTTTCCTCTTCCCTAAGGGCCCTCTCTATCCCATGCCAGTCTAATTGTTTCCTCTCAAGGTAACAAGGTTCCTCTGACAAGAAACTGCTCTCAATCCACTTGAGCCCAATTCCTCTCCTCAGAAGATTGGATACCCAGGATTCTCAAGCTTGGGAGCACATCAGTTTCACTGGGGAACATCTCGTGATCAAAGATTCAATCCTGAAACTACCAATGCAGTGAGTTTAGAATAGGGCCAGGTATCTCTCAGTGATCCAAAAAGTACTCTGGATCCAGGTTTCCTGAGAATTGGCAAGTCTGGGACATCCCTGCCACCCTCTCAAACAGCTGGGTCACAGACTCCTGGTATCCATTCACTTCAGTATGGTTTTCTCATCCCTGCGGTGGTCAGAAGAATAATGCCACCTCCAAAAGATGTCCACATCCTAATCCCCAGAACCTATGAATAAGTTAATTTATGTGCAGAGGGGAATTAAGGTTGCAAATGGAATTAAAGTTGCTAATCAGCTGACCTTACAGTAGAGATTCTCTTCAATTATCTGGGTGGGGCCCTGGTGGTGTAACCATCAGGGTCCTTAAAAGTGGAAGAGGGCAGCAGGAGAGAGAGGGCAGCAATGCAGGGACTCTGCCTGAGGTTACTGACTTTGAAGATGGACCAAGGGGCTACAAGCCACGGAATGCAAGCAGCCTCTGGAAATTGGAAAAGGAAAGACGACAGATTCTCCCCTAGAAGCTCCAGAAGGAATGTACCAATGTCGACACCTTAATTTTAGCCCAGTAAGACCCATTTAGACTTCCGACTTCCAAAATCGTAAGCCTCAAATTGTAGACGCCCAAGGTAGAGAAGGGCTAGCTCAAAGAGACTTGTAGGTGTGGCTTGTCCCATGGAGTGAATCCCAGGAAGATTCATAGAAGGCCCACTAAGTTAAGAAAATTATATTGGCAAAAATGCCACCAGCTGTGATTGCAAAGGACAGAAACAGTACAAAATGAAAAGAGGCCTTCGGGCCCCCACACTCATTTCTTTCCCAGGAACTCATTCCCTTCTCCTTAACGACAAAATGCCTTTAAAGCGGAAAATTGCTTGATCATCGGAAATTTGCTTGAGAAGTGAATAATTTCCAATAGGCTTCAGGAGAAATTTGATCAGTGGTCTGCTCTGGGAAAGCCCATTTAAACATCCCCGCCCGCGGCAGGGAAGCCCTTTTAAGGGACATAATATTCGGTAATCTTCCTCAAACACTAGCAAGCGCGCTTCTGTCCCTGAGATTACTTGCAGCAGTTCCCCGCTTGCTGTCAAATTTTTATACTTTGAGGGTCCCAGGCCACCAAGCCATAGCTGCCCTGTTTAAACTGAGGGGCTCTCATTTCCTTTACTCTTCCCAAACTTTTGAGTTTGGGCCGTGTAGCTGGCTGGGGATGGCCCTGAGCTGAAGGCAGCGGAAGGACAGAGGTCCAGCGCACGCCCAACCACGGAGGGGAACTCTGGCACCCAGAACCAGCGTGGCCTGCGCCTGCGCTAGGACCACCGTTCCCAGCGTCCTTCTCAGCCAAGTTGCTTCCCGTTCCAGAAGCACCCCCTGCCATTGGATTCTGGTGGACCTGAAAGACATGTGCAACAAGAAAGCATGATGGGTAATAAATTCTGGGAGCAAAAACAGGCAGAAGCCTCTCTAGGGGAAGTACAGGCCCTGACGCTGTGCGGATCACAAATCAGGCAGCTGGAAGGAAAAAGGCTTTGGCTAGGAACGATGCCCAGCAAAGACTTCTGGGAGATGTAGTCCTCTGGGGCGGGCAGTAAGGGTTGTGCGCATGACAGGAAGTGGCGCTGACAGGCGCGTCCCCTTGGCGCGAGAGTGGGGCCCTGGCGTTCCGGCAGTACCTGGAACTGAAGTGTTTGATTGCTGGCCGGTCGTTGTTTGCAGGTGGCTTTCTCGGAAAGCCGGCAGCGGCTTTTCCACCCAGGTTCTCCTTAAGGCCGAGCAGAGGAGTGGCTGTGGGTAGGGAGGCGGAGTGGAAGAGCCGGCTGGGCAGGCCCGGCCCGAGCTCCCAGGGCCCGGCACCGCAGGCTCAGACCGGGCTTCTGAGGGGAGAGGCCGAAGCAGGGAGTCCAGCCTGGGAACTGTCCGGGCAGCCCAGCAAGCCAGGCGGAAGCTGCTGTGGAGCGACGCTGACGCCCAGAGAACTGCTGGGGGGAGGTGGCGCGAGGTGGGACTCAAATGCTGGAGGAAGGAGGTGAGGAGGAGTGGTGGAGGGAGCGATTTGCGGGAGATCTGGCTGCTTGTTCCAGCTTCCCACTAATGCTGCTGTGTGACGCGGAACAGAAGCCCAGTTATCCTTCCCACAAGTATTTGGAGACAGTCCTTTTTTGAGTAAAGAATTCTGGGGTCAAAAAGTTTGAGGACCTCAGGCCTGCGTGATCTCTGAGCACTCTACACCTTGCCCCAATCTGCCTGATAGACGGATGACCTTAGAGACTAGGGAGAAGTGGGTTCCTGGGGAGGAAAATGAGACGTACCTGGGGACTCCTCTACCACTTGTGTCCTAGCCTTTCTTGAAGCAGCCAGGGATATGCAGCAGCCCAGGAAAGTTTGGGGTCAGGTTCAGCCCAGTAGGGTTGTGAAGTGGTGGAGGACAGAGGAATTTGCGATTGGAAGGCCCAGATTCTTGTTAAAGCTGTGAGGTGCCGGCCAAGTCTCTTAACCTGTGTTTCTCCTTGAAAGAAAGGACACAATAGTGTTAACTACTTTGTTTACTTCTAAGAATTGTAATTATCAATTAAAGTAACATTTTTTTTAAGTATCTTGAATGCAGTACAGAGCAAATGTGTGGGAAGTCTTAACAAATCGAGGCTTGTGCCATCCTCCCTTATATCAAGAGGTCTCTGTATTTGGTCTGTCACTCTTCAAGTGCAAATTCACATTCAGCATTTGGTGTTGCCCCTTAGATCAAGGGATCTTTGTATTTGGTGTTGCACGTGAAGACTGAAGAGCATAATTTCACATCCAGCATTTCATGCTGTCTTCACCAGAGACCTGGGAAAGCAGGTCAGATGGTCATTGTCCTCCCCATCGTATGAGAGGAAAATAAGGTACAGTCGGGTTAGGTGCAAATCAGTAAAAGAACGTCTGTACTAAGGCCCATATCCAAATCTATTTACTTCTTTTATTCAGATGTAATTCACGTACCATAATATTCACGATTTTAAAGTGTACAGTTCAGTGGTTTTTAGTATATTCCCAAAGTTGTGCAACCATCGCCACTCTTTAGTTCCAGAACATTTTTATCATCCAGAAAAGAAACCTCATACCCACTTCTCCACAAGTGTCTGGCATCCACTGTTCCACTTTCTGTCTCTGTAGGGTTTGCCTAAGACATTTCATATAAATGGACTCATATGTGACCTTTTTTGTTTTTCTTTCACTTAGCGTAGTGTTTTCAAGGTTCATCCATGTTATACCATGTATCAGTACTTCATTCCTCTTTATGACTGAATAATATTCCGTTGTATGGCTATATCACTATTTTTTTAATCCATTCCTCAGTGAAATTTGTGTGGACATGTTTTTTATTTTTCATGAGTATGTAACTAGGAGCGGAATTACTGTGTCATATAACTCTTTTTTAAGAACTGCTGAACTGTTTTCCATAGCAACTGCACCATTTTATATTATCGCCAGCAGTATATGAGGGTCCCAATTTCTTCACATCCCATCAACACTGTTATTTTCCATGTTTATTAACAATAATGACTATCTTGGGTGTGAAGTGTTATCTCGCTGTCATTATGATTTGGTTTTTCCACATGACTAATGATGTTGAGTTTCATGTGCTTAGTGGCTATTTATATGTCTTGCTTGGAGAAATGTCTGTTCACATCTTTTGCCCAGTTGAAATTTAGTTGTCTTTGATGTTGAGTTGTAAGAAAGACACACGATTTGCAAATATTTGCCCTCAATCTGTAGTTTTCTTTTCACTTTCTTGATAGTGTTCTTTGATGCACAAAGTTTTTAATTTTGATGAAATTCAATGTATCTGCCTTTTCTTTTGTTGCTTGTTCTTTTGGTGTCTACGTATCTAAGAAATTATTGCCCAATCTAAGGTCACCAAGATTTATTCCTGTATTCTTCTCAGAGTTTTAGGTATTTAATTCCAGAACATCTATTTAATGTTGAATAGAATTGGAGCAGACATCCTTGTCTTGTTCCTGATCTTAAGGGAGAAAAGCTTTCAGTCTTTGACCATTAAGTATGAGATTAGTGGTGTATTTTTATCAAGTTGAGGAAGTTACCTTTTACTTCTAGTTTGTTGAGTATTTTTTTTTTTTATCACAAAAGGGTGTTAGATTTTATAAAATGTTTTTTTCTATGTCTATTGAGATGATCATATGGGGAGTTGTTATTGTTCTATTTATATGGTCTATTGATATTGTGTGTCAAACCAACCTTGCATTCCTGCGATGAATCCCTGTTGCTCAGGCTGGAGTGCTGTGGCATGATCATAGCTCACTACAGCCTCAAATTCTGGAGCTCAAGGGATCCTCCCACCTCAGCCTCCCAAGTAGGTAGGACTATAGGCGCACGCCACCACGCCCAGATTTTTTTTTTTTTTTCGTAGAGATGGGTTCTTGCTTTGTTGCCCAGGCTTGTCTCAAATTCCTGGGCTCAAGTGATCCTCCCACCTTAGCCTCCTAAAGTGCTGGGATTACAGGTATGAGCCACTACTCCTGGCCATTACCTCCTCTTTTGATTTAAGCAAATGTCTTAAATTTGCAGAGCTAGTTTCTCCAAAGAACTAAGTAATAGGTAATATTTATAAACTGTATACTTACATGCTAGGCATTGTGCCAGCTCTTTGTCTATATATTCCTTTAATCTTCACAGCAACCTTACAAGAGATTATCCTACAGATGAGAAAACTGAAACTTAGGTTACATGATTTGCACACTGCTGGTGAGTGGTGGATCTTGGAAACTTGATGAAAGTCTGTTATACCGTGATGCCTCCTTACATCAAAGTGAATTGATGGAATTTCTGAGGTAGGAGGGAATGGGAAATTTTACATTGCGCTGCAGGTCTACAAATTCAGCCCAAGCACTGTGTCCTTTGAAGTAACTCTTCATAGTGAGAATTGGTGACTCCATAAACTGCTAACTTTTATGCCTCGTTGGTTTCTTTCTCTTTCTCCAGTACCACCATCTTCAGATACTGCCCTTCCCCAAGAGGAAAGCACAGGAGAGGAAGGGATGGCTGCTGGTCTTCTCACAGCTGGGCCCCACGTAAGCTGGAAATCGACTCTCAGAGCTTTCAGAGGCAATCTTTTTTTCCTAATATTAATAGTAGGGTAGGCTTCCATTTTGTTTTGTTTTGTTTTTTACAGGTTTTCTTCAGTGAACATGAATTATTCACAAGTAATTCATGTTCACTGCAGAAACCTGGAAAATTTAGAAAATACAAAGAAAAATTTTAAAATCACCCTTAATCTCACAAAGAGATAGCACTGAACATTTTGACTTGTGTCCTTTCATTTTCTTCCTTTCCTATATTTTCCCAAAGTGGGTTTGTTCTGCTTTGTAACTTTTTTTTCTTTTTTTTTTTTTTTCCTCAGCCTTTGACCATCTTTGTCAGGTGCTTTGTAACTTTTTTATTTCCACTTTACAGAATTTGATGAACATTTTCCCATTTTATTAAGAGTATTCTACCAAATCATTTCTAACACATTCTATCAAATAGTTCTTCTATCAGAGTAGGAACTGTCTTCTCCCCTTTTCTTCTTGACTGGACTAGGTAATGGCCTATTTATTTTCACTTTTTATAAGTTTGATCTTAGATTTCCTTATCTCTTTATTAATTTTTACTTCTGCTTTCCTCAGATTTATTTAAACATTTTTTTTTTAACTTCTTGAGTTGAATTCTTAACTTCTTCATTCCTTGTTTACATTGAAAGTTTCTGGCTGTGGATTTTATTTCTTTATATATTCCAAAATTATTTTGATTTCTTTGCCCATTGGTTGATCAATGCTTTATAAAGACAGAATCTGTGTCTCTTGTCAACACAAAATACCGGTATAGTCTGATGGCAGAGTGTGGGATTTGATGGCTCTGTCAGCTCAACCTTATTAAATTGCTCAGTTCCTCCATATCTTTATTTTTTTGTTTATTTGTTCATTTTGGGCTAACTCATGACTGAGTTAATATCTCTCAAAACTAAAATATTTTCAATTTCTCTTTGTATTCCCTGCAGTTGTTCCTTTATGTATGTGTTTCTTTGTTATTTGATTCATGACATTTATATCTTTATAATGATTTTACTTTCTTGATTAAAGTTACCCAAATATTTTAAATATTTCTTAGTTTTGAAAAATGAGCCTCTTTGTTCCATTTAGTGCATTTCTCAGTGTGAAGGATGGATTTGAAGTGCAGGTAAAATTAGAAGTTAGGAGACTAGTGATAATCTGGAAAGTGATGCTGGCTTATAACAAGGCAGTGGCAGGGGAATGGAAAGAAATGGGTATAGTCTCGTGATATCAGGAGGAAGAATCAGTAGGAATTGATTTGAGGGAGCTGCAGGAAAGAAGAGGATAACACCCACGTTTCTAGCTTGGCCAACTAGCTGAGCAGAGGAACCAACCATTCCCTGAACTGGGAATAGACAAGGAACAGCAGGTGAAGGTGGATTTTCCTGTTGGTTGTGTCTGAGGTTCCTGTGTGACCTGGCCAGGAGATAATTACTGCCTTATGTTAACACTGTGGTGTTGGCCGGACGCGGTGGCTCATGCCTGTAATCCTAGCACTTTGGGAGGCCAAGGCGGGAGGACTACTTGAGTTCAGGAGTTTGAGACCAGCCTGAGCAAGAGCAAGACCCTGTCTCTACAAAAAAATAGAAAAATTAGCTAGGTGTGGTGGCACACACCTGTAGTCCTACTTGGGAGGACTATGTGGGAGGCTGAGGCAGGAAGATCCCTTGAGTCCAGGAACTTGAGGCTGCAGTGAGCTATGATAATGACACTGCACTCTAGTCCAGGCTACAGAGCAAGACTCTGTCTCAAAAAAAGCAAAAGAAAACAAACCTGTGGTGTTATCCTCTGATTAGTTTCTGCCCATTCCACCTGGCTCCCCCACCCTCAACTAGCCAGAGGGTACACTGCGTAGAGTAGGTGCCTATTTGTTATATGAACCGCTTAAGCTGCCACCTGCATGCCTTATAGCTCCCGTCCTGACTTCCTAACTCCAGATCTATGTTTTTGCCCAGGAGGGGTGGAGGTACCTGGTCCCCACTCCAAGGGACAGGTTCAAGGAGGGGATACCAGAAAAGTCCAGGAACCTGGTCCTACTGGGTAAGGAAAATGTTTCTTTAAGATTAAGAATGGGCTTAATTTTGAAAATCCTCAGCATTTTCTTTCCAGTATGTAGAGATCTCTTAATTGCTCGTATGCACAAGCGGGATGGTGTTTATTCCTCCTCTTCCCTAGTGGAAGGTCTCTGCACGCACACTTGGCAAACAGGCACTTTACTTTGCTTCCCCCAAGTCTGCACCTCCCCGTTCTCTCATTTCCCAGGAGGGATGGGTAGCCCTCAGGTCTGTTCCTCCGTATTCAGTAAGTTCCCATCCGGGTTTAGCTTAGCTCCCAGGCGTGTGACTCCTCCTTGAGGCTGTTTCTTTAGCTCCTTCCAGAAATGTTTTACTAAGATCTTGGCACCATGTCTGTCTTATTTGCTCCTTTATCCCCTTGTGCACACACCAAGTAAGTGCTCAATAAATATTTGTTGGATGAATGAAATGAACACCCTGACTGGCCTATTTCCTCCCTGAGTTCTGGGTGGCTGTTTATACTTAGTACAATCTCTACAGCCCATCTTTCCCCTTGAATAGGACTTCCAGTTTCCCAGTCTGGCATGAACTCCCAGCTGGAACAAAGGGAAGGCCCATGGATGTTGGAGGGAGAAGACCTACGAAGTTCCTGTCCAGGTAAGGGAGCAGGCATTACACCGGTGAGTCTTGGGAGCAAAAGCCCCTTTGAAACCCACATTAGTGCATTTGATTAGTGTAACAGCCCTCTGAAGTAGATATTATTATCTCCATTTTACAGATGAGGAAATTAAGCTGAGAGGGGTTAATTCACTGGTACGAAGCCTCACAGCTGACCTGAAGGCTACCCCATCCCTCCTGGGAAATGAGAGAATGGGAGGTGCAGGCTTGGGGGAAGCAAAGTGAAAGTGCCTGTTTGCCAAGCGTGCGTGGAGAGACCTTCCGCTAGGGAAGAGGAGGAATAAACACTGTCCCTGTAGTGCATCTCAGAAAGTGGCGAGGCTGGGATTTGGAGCAAGCTCTGTCTGACTGTAAAGCTCACTATTCCTTTCCTCATCCTCACAAAGTCTTCCAGGGCTGGGAGGTGTTTGTGGGGAGCATGTGGTATTAACTGGCCTCTAGAAGAGTATCCTTCCTCAATTGTGCGGAACAAGAGTCATCTTTGGTGGCCTGGAACATTCTCTGCTTAGGGTTCACCTCGCTGAGCATCTTCCATGCCCACCTTTAACCCATACCACCAGCTGTGACAGTTCCTGCTGCCGCCCTGCCTGCCCCTTAATTGGATTCTTCTCCCCCTTTTCCTCTGTGTGGCTGTGCCAGAATTTTCTAAAGCACTGATACAAAAAAACTCAGGAAAAAGAGAAGGAAGGAAAACCATAGTTTCTGCGGTTTCTCTCTTGCTACTCATCTGAAGCTGCTATCTCCCCCACCGTCGCAGCTCAGCCTGTGCCCTAGCGGGACCTCTGGCAGGGCCTCAGTAGCTTTCCCCTGGGGATCCAGTCACTTTTGATATATAAGAGTTAAAGCATCAAAGGTAAAACTGAATTAAACCACTTTAAGGTAATAACATTTTACATTTTTCTAAAAATTTAGCCTGCTTATTTGTTTGTTGCTGTATTTCTTTAGTTACAAATTATTGTTGCTGATAAGGTGGTGGACATAAACCCTCTGGCACATTTTCTGCATGGTTCCTTAGAACTGTCTCCTCTTCCCATCTTACTATCCTCTGTCTAAGCAACCTGTCCCATACCACCTCAGCCCTCACTGGGGCGCCCGGCACCTCTCCTACTTGCTGAAACTGCCTCCAGGGAACCTCCCTGGTCTTGCTGTTTCCTCCTCCCAAGAGCCACCCTCCTTCCCAGCACACCCCGTTAGTTATTTAGGGCATTTTAACCTGAATCCATAGACCCTGTATGGAACTTCAGAAATTGGATGCAGTGTTTTGTGGCTAGGGGAACAACTGCGTTTTTCTGGGAAAGGTGTTCATCATAGTCTCAGAGGTGTTCAAGATCCTAAAAAGGTTACTATGTTAGTTTCCTAGGGCTGCCGTAACCACCACAAACTGGGTGGATTAGAACAACAGAATTGATCCTTTCACGGTTCCAGAGGCTGGCAGTCTGAAATTGAGAGGTCAGCAGGGTGTTCTCCCTCTGAGGACTCTAGGGCAGGATCCTTCCTCAGCTCTTCCAGCTTCTGGTGGATGCCAGGAGTGTCCTCAGTGTGCCTGGCCATTTAGCTGCATCACTCCAATCTCTGCTCCTGTTGGCACATGGTGTTCTCTCTCTATCCAAATTTCTGTTTTTTAAAAAGGTACATTCTAATCCAGTAGGGCCTCAACTTGATTATATCTACAAAGACGTTATCTCCAAGCGAGGACACATTCTGAAGTTCCAGGGAGCATGATGGGGGAGCTCACCCCAGTCTAGTTGCCCCAAAAAGTTCGAATCACCACATTATTAAGAAACGGAAGTTGGGAAGGGGCATTCCCAAGCGTGTGCTCTGAGACAGCAGTGTAAGGCAGTAGAAGCAACTCTGGGTACATCTGAGTGGAAAAACTAGAACTGTTTTCCCCACACACATCAAGTAAGCCATTTTATAGCAGACACCAGCAGCCCTCCAATTTAATTTCAACACTGTCTACCTGGGGATGGCATCAGATCCCACAGGTTGAGGGCTCAGTCCCACAAGGCAGCACCCCCCTTCCCACCAGTCACAAGTCTGGGCCTCTGGAACTTTTGACTGACTGGCTTCAAGTTGGGGTTGCCACAAACCCCCTCTTTGGATTCCATTAATTTGCTAGAGTGGGCCAGGCGTGGTGGCTCACACCTGTAATCCTAGCACTCAGGGAGGCCGAGGCGGGAGGATCGCTCGAGGTCAGGAGTTCAAGACCAGCCTGAGCAAGAGTGAGACCCCGTCTCTACTAAAAATAGAAAAAATTAGCTGGGCATGGTGGCGCATGCCTGTAGTCCCAGCTACTCGGGAGACTGAGACAGTAGGATAGCTTGAGCCCAGGAGTTTGAGGTTACTGTGAGCCAGGCTGACGCCACGGCACTCTAGCCCAGGCAACAGAGCGAGACTGTCTCAAAAAAAAAAAAATTTGCTAGAGTGCCTCACAGAACTCAGGGAAACACGTTTCCTGGCTTATTATAAAGGATATATAATATATATATATATAATATAAAGGATATTATAAAGGAAACAGATGAAGAGATACATAGGGCGAGGTATAGGGGAAGGTACACGGAGCTTCCATGTCTTCTCTGGGCATGCCACCTTCTATGAACCTAGCGTGTTCAGCTGTCCAAACGCTCCCTGAACCCTGTCCTTTTGGGCCTTTTCTGGAGACCTCACTGGATAGGCATGAATGAAACATGGACAACCATGTTGAAATGCGATTAGACAAAAAGGGCATGATCCACTACTAACAGACTGAGTAGGGAAGCCCAGCAAGGCCTGTCCAGACTTTTCTTGGCCTCTCTGTGTAGCATTCCTTTCTCCAGGGTATGGGGCCGGTCCCTTTCTGAAATGAGGATCTTATGACCCACTATCAGATTAGAGATCCGCTTAGAGCAGTAGGTCAGAGAGAGTCTACTTCCTGAGGCTTGCTTCTGAGTCCTAAAGTGTCCCAACAGTGTAACAAAAGACTGTGACAAGGGCTGTGGGAGTTATGAGCCAAGAACAGTGGATGAAAACATACATACATCTCACAGCACCACAGCGCATGAAAGCCACATACTCAGTCCTGGCTTGCTGTGTATTAACTACATGCATTCAGAGCAAACCACTGAGTTATATAGTCATGCTTCCATATATGAAAAATGGTGAAATCTTTCTTCCTTATTTCACAAATTAGTATGTATGAAAAAAGTTGTTGGTTGGGTGCAGTGGTTCACGCCTGTAATCCTAGCACTTTGGAAGGCCGAGGTGGGAGGATCTTGAGGACGGGAGTTCGAGATCAGCCTGGGCAATAGTGAGACCCGTCTCTAGAAAAAATAAAAAAATTTAGCTAGGTGTGGTAGTGTGTGCCTGTAGTCCCAGCTACTTGGGAGGCTAAGGTAGGAAGTTCACTTGAGCCCAGGAGTTGGAGGCTGCAGTGAGCTATATCACCATACTCTAGCCCAGGCAACAGAGTGACCCTATCTCAAAAAAAAAGTTATCAGCTGTAGTTATATGAGCTATATGATAGTGAACAGAACTAATTGGGGACAAGTTTCCACTCTGCTATTGAAGTAACTAAACACTGCCTCTACAGAGTGGCACCTCTGCTGTGACCCAGTGTGTCCTCTGCGTCACTATGCCTCCAGGGGCTGGGCTCAAGCTGTTATTCCAGACCATCCCTCTCAAGTGACAGACCCAGGCCTTTAAAGAGCCTTTCACTTTGCTACTCACTTTGGGGACCTCTGTGATAGATACTGATGTTTCCCCAGACCTTGCTAGTCAGTTTTGCTCATTCTCATTCATTGAATTCATCAGCCAGCAAGCATGCATTAAGTATTTGGTACATGCCTGGCATCATTTTAGTTATGAGGGGTAGATAAACAGACAACGTAGTCCCTGCTTACATCTTAATGAAGAACATAAAATGAGCAAACATAACAACGAAAATACTTTTTTTTTTTTTTTTTTGAGACAGGGTCTCACTCTGTCACCCAGGCTGGAGTGCAGTGGTGCCAACATAGTACACTGCACCCTCAACCACCCAGGCTCAAGCAATCCTCCCACCTCAGCCTCCTGAGTAGCTGGGACTACAGGCATGTGCTACCATGCCCTGCTAATTTTTAAATTTTTTGTAGAGACGGGGTCTCACGATGTTGCCCAGCCTGGTCTCAAACTCCTGGCCTTAAGCGATCCTCCCAGCTCAGCCTCCCAAAGTGTTGGGATTACAGGTGTGAGTCACTGCACCGAGCCGGATATACTTTTTATGGTGATGAGTGCTGTGAAAAAAATAAAACGGGGCAAGAGACTGGTGACTGGGGTAGGGAGCTGAGTGCAGCATAGCGAGGGGGAAGGGAGCTGCTGGAGATCTGAGGAAGAGGAAGGACCTCAAGCCTTGTGGGAATGAGCTTGGCTTGTTTTAGGATCAGAAGACCTATGTGGCCAGAGCTTAGTAAACAGGAGGGAGAGTGGTATACAGGGGGACAGATCATGTGGGGCAACTGTAGCCATGGTAAGGCATTTGGATTTTTATTCACCTAAGAAAATAAGCCATTGAAGGGTTTTGAAGCAGGAAAGGGACAAGATTTATCTTTAACAAGAAGTCAGGATGTGTGGAGAATAGGCCTTAGAGAGATCAGTTAGGAGGAGGCTGTTGTGGACAGTCCACTGAGAGGTGCTGGCAGCCTGCTAAGAGGAATCAGGACGTACTTTGGTGTTAAAGCCAACGGGACTTGCTGCGGAACTGGATGTGGGACGTAAGGGAAAGAAGCATTAAGGATGATCCTAGTGTTTGGGCCTGAACAGTGGGTGAATGGGAAAACTGACAAAGATCCTGGCTTGAAAGGGAAAGTCAGTAGCTCCGTTTTGGGTGTGCTAGGTCTGAGATGTCGTCAGATAGTCTTAAACAGGAGCCAGCACTTGGGGGAGGTTAGCTGAGAGACAGCCATTTGTGAATGTCACGTGGTTTTCTGAATTGCCCCTATCTCCCCTAGCTTCTTTCTTGTCACTTTTCCTCTCCTTTCCATGTTTTACTCAGATGATCTAAGAGCTGTCAAACCCATATACGAGGGAATACCAAGTTACATAGAGACACTCCAAACCTGATACGGGGACCTCTGCTCTCAGCAGATTCGGTATCGGCATGCACACGAAATTTAGAGGAAACGTGCTTTGTGCTTTAGGATGGTTTACAAGGAAAAGGTCCAAAATATATTAACATCAAGCACAGTGATATTTACTATGCCTCAAGCACTGTTCTGGGTCCCTTATGTGTCTTGACTCATGTAATTCTCGTGGTAATTCTATGAGGGAGCCGCTTCACAGATGATAAATCCAAGACATAGAAAGATTTCATAATCTGCCCAAAGTCACAAAGCTAGTAAGAGATGGACCCAAGATTTGGAACCTAGGCAGTCTGGGTCAAGATTCTGCATAGACATTCAAAGAAAGGGTACCTAGGACTATCCTTACTCCTCTTTCCTCTGAGAAAGGAAAATTGACCCTTATGGAAAGAAGCTTCATAGACCTCCCTAAAACTCCATTCCTTCCTGCAGGCCTCTTTGTAGGAGACACGGAGGTCTGGGGCCCTATGCATTTTAGTGCATTACAAATATTATACAGTCACGTGTTGCTTAACAACAAGGCTATATTCTGAGAAGCGCATTGGTGATTTTATCGTTATGTGAACGTCATAGAGTGTACTTAACACAAACCTAGATAGGATAGCCTACTACACACCTAGGCTATAGCCTGTTACTCCTAGGCTACAAATCTGTACAGCATGTTATTGTACTGAATATTGTAGGCAGTTGTAAGATGATAGTATCTGTATATCTAAACATAGAAAAGGTATAGTAAAAATACAGTAAAAAAGATTTAAAAAGTAGTTCACTGTGTATAGGGCACTTACCATAAATGGAGCTTGCAGGACTGGAAGTTACTGTGGGTGAGTGAGTGGTGAGTGAATGACTAGGACATTATGTATAATACTGTAGATTTTATAAACACTGTACACTTAGGATACACTAAATTAAGAAAAAACCTTTTTTCTTCAATAATTAACCTTAGCTTACTATAACTTTACAAACTAAGTATTTTTAACTTTTTCTTTTGTAATAACACTTAGCTTAAAACACACATTGTACGGCTGTACAAAAATGTTTTCCTTCTTTATATCCTTATTCTAAGAATTTTTTCTATTTAAATTTTTTTTTTTTTTTTACTTTTAAAACTTTTGTTAAAAACCAGGACACAAACACATACATTAGCCTAGGCCTACACAGGGTCAGGACCATCAATATCACCGTCTTCCACCTCCACATCTGTCCCACTGGAAGGTCTTCAGGGGCAATAACATGCATGGAGCTGTCATCTATGATAACAATGCCACCTTTTGGAATACCTCCTGAAGGACATACCTGAGGCTTTTTTTTTACAGTTAACTTTTTTTCTATAAGCAGAAGGAGTACACAATAACTCCATCTGGCGAGGTGGCTCATGCCTGTAATGCTAGCACTCTGGGAGGCGGAGGAGGGAGGATTGCTTGACGTCAGGAGTTCCAGACCAGCCTGAGCAAGAGCGAGACTCCATCTCTACTAAAAATAGAAAAAATTAGCTGGGCGTGGTGGTGTGTGCCTGTAGTCCCAGCTACTCAGGAGGCTGAGGCAGGAGGATCGCTTGGGCCCAGGAGTTGGAGGTTGCTCTGAGCTAGGCTGACGCCATGGCACTCTAGCCCAAGCAACAGAGCGCGACTGTCTCAAAAAAAATAAAAAAGCAACAGAAAAATAAAAAAATAAAATAATGATAACTAGTATGGTAAATCCATAAATCAACATAGTCATATATTGTATCAAGTATTATGTACTATACATGATTATATGTGCTGTACTTTTATATGACTGGCAGTGCAGTAAGTTTGCTTATACCAGCATCACCACAAATACATGACTAATGCATTGCACTACAATGTTACAACAGCTACAAAGTCACTAGGTGATAGGACTATTTCAATGACCAGAAAGTCATTATGCATTGAATGTACATTAATTCACATTAAAGTTTTCTCTTAATATGAAAGAGGTCCCAAAGAAAGTTAAGAATCATCATTAACTCTTTAAAACCTTAAAAAATTATTTTCTGATTATAAAAGCAATGTTTCAATCTTCATATCACAAAATGCAGTAATACATTTTTCTAAAAGCAAGATAAGCATATATAATTTTACATATTCTTTTTTTCACTTAACAATATATTGTTTTTTAAATCACTACATATTCTTTGAAAGCAAGCTTTTTAATAACTTTATTATAAGAATACCATCATTGGAGAATATTAGAAAAAAAGTTTTAATACCTTTCTACAACAGAATTTTAGTATACACACGTCAAACATGAAAGCATGACCTATAATTGCTGAATAGTATCCCTCTTCATTGTCTATGTTCCCGTATTATCAAACATTTAGGTGTTTGCTTCTCATTTAACAAATGATGCTATGATGGGCATTCTTGTGCATACAGCTTTCTGTAATCTCTAGTTAGTTCCTTAGGATAAATTCTTACAAGTAGAATTCCAGTGCCAACATTTAAAGATACCTGACACATGACCAGACTTCTCTCCAGAGAAGTGGGCCCAGTTGCTACAGCCACCACAGTATATGAGATCTCATTATGCTGCACCCCTTCCAACACTCTAGAATTAACCATTAATTTGGCTGATGTGGTAGGTGGAGAAATTCATCTTACTTGGCACTGATCATCAGTTTTTTTAAAGTGCATTATTTAGGCCAGGCACAGTGGCTTTTATGCCTGTAATCTCAGCACTTTAGGAGGCCAAGGCAAAAGGATTGCTTGAGCCCAAGAGTCCAAAACCAGCCTGGGCAACCTAGTGAGACCCTGTGTCTACAAAAAGTAGAGGTTAGCAGGGCATGGTGCTGTGCATCTGTAGTCCCAGCTACTCAGGAGGCTGAGGCAGAAGGACTGCTTGAGCCCAGGAATTCGAGGTTGCAGTGAGCCATGATTGCTCCACTGTACTCCAGAATGGGCAACAGAGGAAGACCCCGTCTCAAAGCGAATTTAAACCCAGTAAGCCGATTGCTCAAAACCACACTGAAAATTGTGAGGGTAAGATAGCACGGAGGCAAGAGGAGAGAGGAGTCCTGCATCTGGAACAGGCGGATCAGGGCACATTTCACCCCTCAGCAGTTGCGAAAGGGTGCCATGGCAGCTAATGCCCGAATGTCTCTGCAAAACATCTTGGTTGCTATTTTACGGTTTCAGAAATATTCTAGGTGAAAGGAGGTTGAGTCATCAAACCTGTGTAAGAGCTTGGCCAAAAACACCTTCAGCCTTTTGTATTTCTTCCAGCAAGAGAACACAAGATAATTGCTTTTCTAACTTTTTCTCAGACTGGAAGATTATACCTGAGTCACCACCAGAGCAAGCCAGTTCTGAAGAATCATCCCAAGACACAGATATAGAGATGGCCCCCGGGGAGTCAGACCACAGGCTCAGTGAACTTGGGAAGAGCTTCAGTCTGAGACCAGTCCTCTCTCCACAACAGGGAGTTCCGACAGAAGTGAGACCTCGCAAATGTGAAACACGTACCGAGAGCTTCAAAAAGAATTCAGAAATAATAGACCCTCACAGAGTGAAACCGTACACATGTAATGAATGTGGCAAAGCCTTCAGTTACTGTTCTTCCCTTTCTCAGCACCAGAAGAGCCACACTGGGGAGAAGCCCTATGAGTGCAATGCATGTGGGAAGGCCTTTAGCCAGAGCTCCTCTCTCATTCAGCACCAGAGGATTCACACGGGAGAGAAACCTTATAAATGCAGTGAATGTGGGAGAGCCTTCAGCCAGAACGCGAACCTCACAAAACACCAGCGAACTCATACTGGAGAAAAGCCCTACAAATGTAGCGAGTGTGATAAAGCCTTCAGTGACTGTTCAGCCCTGGTTCAGCATCAAAGAATTCATACCGGGGAGAAGCCCTACGAATGCAGCGACTGTGGGAAGGCCTTCCGTCATAGTGCAAATCTTACGAACCACCAGAGGACTCACACTGGGGAGAAGCCCTACAAATGTAGTGAGTGTGGGAAGGCCTTCAGTTACTGTGCAGCGTTCATTCAGCACCAGAGAATTCACACAGGGGAGAAACCCTACAAATGTAATGCGTGTGGGAAGGCCTTCAGCCAGAGTGCAAACCTCACAAACCATCAGAGGACGCACACTGGAGAGAAACCCTACAAGTGCAGCGAGTGTGGGAAGGCCTTCAGCCAAAGTACAAATCTTATAATCCACCAAAAGACTCACACTGGGGAGAAGCCATATAAATGTAATGAATGTGGGAAATTCTTCAGTGAGAGCTCAGCCCTTATTCGACATCATATAATTCACACTGGAGAAAAACCTTACGAGTGCAGTGTGTGTGGAAAAGCATTTAACCAGAGTTCATCCCTTAGTCAACATCAGAGAATTCACACTGGCATTAAACCCTATGAATGCAGTGAGTGTGGGAAGGCCTTTAGGTGTAGCTCAGCTTTCATTAGACATCAGAGACTCCATGCTGGAGAGTAACTAGGAACATAGCGGAAGTGGGGAGAGCCCCCACTACATGCCAACTCATGACAGATGTGTGGTCTCAGATAAATGCTGAAGGCTTAGAAGCATCTGGGGACACCTAGCTTTTAGTCTGTAGCCCAATGCCACATGCAAAAGCACCTTTAATAAACAGTCACTATTTTACATGTTGCATGTGGAAGCTTGGGAGCTCTGTAACATTTTCATTCAGTAAGCATCTAGGGAATCCAACAATCCAACTCGAATGTCACCCAATTTTAGAGATTTGCCTTTACTCAGACAAGCGGGCCAAAGCATTTTACGTGGCAAACACACCACAAACCTGGTTTTGTTAGAAAATGTGACCAAATCAACGAGTAAAGAACTCAGTTTCTAATCAAGGCTAGGTCTTCAGTAATACTAGCAATTTCTCCTTGAAGCGATTAGAAATGTTGCAAAAGAACAAAGAGCATTGGCCAGAGATGATTTGAGAAATAGTAAGGTATCCAATTTGGGGAGGGCTTGAGTACAGGTAAGGAAAGGGATTCTACGGCCAACTTTAAATATTAGAATCTCGTGGGGGAGGGGGGGCAGGGGATCCTCAGAAAAGCACTACTAGGCCCAGTCTCCACATGTCAACTGCATAGAGCTTGTTACTGCTAGGAAGAGAAAACAGATCCCAAGGACACCAAGAGGCACATGCTTTTCCATGGAGAAGAATGAGGCGAGACAGCCATGCTTGGCTCATAGGCAGACAGGCCCACAACTGTGTCAGGCTCCTCTTTTCTTCCTCCTTTTCCTGATGAAAGTTTCCTTTCCCTTTAAGAGACCCAGATTCTTACTTCTGGCCTCCTTCCTTTTTCCCTTGCACTTGGACCTGGGTCCTACCTTGCGACTTACAGGTTTTTCCTCAGTGACTTGGGCACCAGAATGATTATTTCCCCACTCACTGCAGGTGGTCCTTCCCGCTCAAGCCAGTTCTCCATCTGCCTTAAAAACTCTACTTAAAATGAATGACTTGAAATGAGTAATGCGGGGGGAATCAAGTTCTTGGGGCAGTCATTTCCAACTCCCTTTAGTCTGGTACCCAGAAACCCTATCCAGGTAGTGCGTCAAGCTGTTCAGGTGCACCTTGTTCAAGTATCTTGAGGTTGGTTCAATCCAACATCTAAGGGAGTGAAGGGGGGCGAGGAGAAAAAAAAACGTAACAGAATGAATGATAAGCCCAAGTTCCAGTAAGTTGGTCAGGAGGAACAAGAAGGGACCATGAGACTTGGGAAAAGTGAAATGTCAGAAAATAGTCTGATGGTTTACAGCATTAAGTTTAGAGAAAAGGTTGGGAACTACAGAAGTAAGCTACAATTACTGCAGCAAATAACCCAAACCTCATTTTCCCATGAGGAAATGATTAGTCAAGGACTCTTGTCAGTCAGGTTTCTGTTGTCATCTTAGTGGTTCTGAACCCTGGCTGTGCACTGGAGTGGCTAGCAAAGGTTTTAAATATGGGTCCTGGGCCCCAACCCACCCAGAGATCCAGTTGGTCTGGGATGGAGAGCTGCTTTCTCCCCAGGTGTTCATGCTGAACTACAGGTTATCTAAGTGTCTACAAAAAGCATTTCCTTTCCAGGTCTCTTACCTGAGCTCCCCCATACAGGCAAAATTTGTTACCCACAAGGTGCCCAGATTATTACTTCTTCACAGGTTCTGCCATCGTGGCCCCATTTACCACCCTGCAAAGGAGAAGCCAGCTTCCTCAGGGAAGACACCACATCAAAAAGCCCAGTGGGTGTTAAATGATCCTTTATTGAAATATTTTCCTTTGTATTTTTAACTCTGTAGGAAAGAAAAAAGCTCTATGAGTAAAAGGAAAATTTTTATCTTCCAGCCCCAACTAACCACTTCTGTAACTTTCCAGCTTATCTCCAAATACATTAGGTACCTCCCCTCTCTCCAGCATTCACCGTATCACAACCAAATGAAACTGGTGCAAGAGTCACTCACAGCTGGGCATTCCACTGCACCACTGTTGATGTCATCTATGATGTCATGTGGGTGGCGGCCATCAACGTTGCAGCCCACAGACTGGGCAGTCCCCAGGATCTCTTTAATGGTTCCTGTAGTAAAGAAAAAGTGGCATCAGCTGCTGCCTCTCATCCCTCACAATCCTCAGACACGTGGTGGGGGGCTGCTTTTGAGTTCTCAGCAGGCAGCGAAGGAATGCCATCCCTGACCCCTTAATACAACGCTTAATGCTCCGTCTAGCCATATAAACCCCAAATGCAAAGTCTCTGTGGGTCCCTTGATACCCAGACACATCCAGCTCAAGATCTTAAGCCATTCCCCTTCAATACCAGAGAACACCACATCCCAGTCTGGGTCTTACCAAGTCCCCTTCAAGTGGGAAGAATGCTAACCACTCAATGAAAACACCCAACTACAGTGAAATTAGTTACATGTCATTCTGTTCTTACCAGAGAGTTCTCTGGCTAAAGATCGGTGCCGCATCTGTCTGGCAATGTTGACAATCTCATCAAAAGTGATATTTCCGTTGTGCTTAACTGAAGAAGGAAAAAAAAAAAAACAGTAAAAGCTGTCACAGCCTGTAAAGCAGATCATATTACATCCTTCACCCATTTCTAGGCTGTTCCCATGCTTTCGGCACAGAGTCATCCACATGAAGAACAACCCTGTTTCCTAAGCTGGGGTTTAGTATCAGCTCACCACTGGATTGCACCAGCCAACAGAACTGGTAGGTGCAGTGGCGGGTGGCTATGGGCAAACCAAGTCTTCACCAATCTGACATGGCAAGGACCTTATGTTTTAGAGATGAGAAAGGACAAGCTTAAACTAGGGTCTGGCTAAGCTGTCCATAGTATCTGCCAGCAGCATGTGGTCTCTTGCTTAAAGGGGCAGTGCTCAGTTGCTTCCCATTCTGCTGACCTTTCCCTCCAGCATGCACTGTGAATGGGACCTGCCCTACACAGGACTGGGGAAAGCTACACAGCACTGGTTAGTAGTGCCTGGCTCTAACAGCCTTAACCAAATAACCACCCAATCCCCATGCCAACCCTGGGTTTCATTAAAGGGAAAGCATAGCCACGTATCAGCCACTGGGCACAGAGCATCAATCACAAACCACTACTGAAACAAATCCTGGGAAAAGGCAACTCACTGTTTTTCTGTTTCTTTCTGTCTCTTGGTGGTTCCTTGAGGGCTTTGATGATCAGGGCAGAGGCAGAAGGTACCACTTCAATCTGCAGAAGAGATTCTTGATGTGAATGAGCTATCCCACCTCCAGTGAACAATACCGCCCCTGTATGACAACCAATACTGCCATGCACATCGGCTCTCTGAGACCATGGGCCAGACACTGGGCTTACTGTACGTGTCCCAAGTAATTTTCACCATCTAAAAACATGCTCCTAGCCTGGGAGACATTAAATTACATGGCTGGCCCAAAGGCACACAAGTGACACGTCTTTGCCCTACGGTCTATACTCTTTGACAAAGCCTTCCCACCAAGACAGAATTGCTCTCAGCTCACTGTACTGGTGACAGAAGCTTTCTCTCCAGGAATCCCAGAGGGTTGTACCTCTCTGCCCTCCCTCAAATCAAGCACGAGAGAAGTAAATACCTGGGCCTGTCTGTTCTGAATAGTTAGTTTCACTGTTATCCTCAGACCCTTCCAGTCACCGGTTGCCTTGGCGATGTCATCACCAACCTTTTTTGGAGACTGTAGAAATAAAGGTATGTAATCACATTGTGCCCAAAGTGGAACCACAGCCTTAAAACCTGCCCAATACTTCTCACTTAGCAACACCCTAAATCTTTCTTATCCAGTACACAGGAAGCTGGCTGAAGCACCTAAGTAAGGGTAGCCTCCTGATCAAAGCAGAGCTATCACCACAGTATAAACTGAGAAAGTGACGCTGGGCCTTAAGTCTTGTCCCAGGCTACAAGCTGCTGGCTCAGGGCCACAACTGGGCCAAGTCCCTTACTTGCTGACTCCCTCATAAGGACCCATGTGGTGAAGTCAGGGTTTTCAACCTTGGTTACATTAGAATCACCTAGGGAACTTTCAAGATCTTAGGTTCACGTGTCAGACCTATACAAGTTCATCTGTGAGGAAGGGCATTTGGGCATTTGCTACTTTGAAACTATTTCCCAGTTACCATTAGCCTAAACAGGAAGCTAAGTGTCCCTTAAGTGCCATCTTAGCTAAGGGCCAAGATAGAGAGCAGTAAGACACTGGTTAAGCAAGACCCAGGGGAAAGAACATTTGGGACAAGGAACCACTGCCTAGTGATAGGGAACTGCAAGTTCAGTAAGAGTACAACATGGAGGTGAAGCAGGCCGGAGGCTGGTGACCAAATAGCTCTTAGGTAAAACTAGTCATATTAACCATTAGGTTTATGTTTACAGAGTTGGAAATGCTCACCAGGATCTTCACCCACACCCCATTTCCCTGGCGAGGAAATGCAGACTAAGGCTAATAGGCTGCCTACTATCACCAAGCCACTCCTGACTTCAAAACTCTGACTTGTCCTCAGGCCCATCCCTCAGGATCACAAAAAGCAGCAGGTAAGAGACATGTGGACAGTAATACCAACTTCAAGGGACTGTGTTCAGTTCTTCAGGTATGACCTTCCTATGGTACCTCCTGCTAGTTCCCCGAGTCAGGTCTAGTAGGGGTGTCTGCGCAGCCCGAGTTTAACACATTGACTGCCACACTAGAAAAAGAAATTTCTCCCAAGGGCCACGGTGTTTTATTACAAAAATAGAAATAAAAACTTGGAAAACAAAACGATGCTTCATAATTTCATGAAAAATTTATTTTTGATTGTTTTCTGTGAGTGAATTATATACAATTTGAAAAATAGTTCACGCAGCTCCCAAGGTGAAGAGACCTGTGAGTTACACACGCTTCACGAAGTCCCAGACTCAAAACTAGCTTGAATTAAATATAACTCACATGGCAGTTAATACGTTAACTTTGCTCTCACGTTAAGTGAAGAAACGCCCTTAGCGGGGATGACTTACCAGACCCAGGGGGCCGATCTTGGGGGCCAGGGCAGACGTGGCACCGACTTCGCCACCGGTGCACCTCAGGTACACTGGGAGAAAGGAAGGATTAGTGCCTCTGCAGAGGGAGCCACAGCTCTCTCTCTTCATCCTTCCCGGAAAGTCACACCATCCTTTGCCCTTCCCAAAACTGCACCAGACGCCCGACGTTCGCAGCTCGGAGCCGCACAGCGGGCCGGCGTGGAGGCTGCCCCGGCCGCCGGCGAACCCAGTCCCGGGGGCAGGAACGCCCGGAGACAAGCCTTACCCTAGGGCGTGCGGGCTGCCAAGCCGCCACAAGTCGTATGGTCCTCCCTCCCCATTTACAAGCGGGGAAACTGAGGCCCAGAAAGGCTAAGAGACTCGGCCAGGACCGCACAGCACGGGAAAGGCCTCTAGGAGGCTTTAGAGCCCCACACGGGAAAGCTTTGCACGCGCGGCGGGGGCCGCGGCGAGGAAGGAGGCTCCATCCCGCAGCCCCGGCCGCAGCTAGAGCACGCACCGACTTTGATCTCGTTGGGGTCGAACTTAGGCGGCATGGTGGAGGCGGCTGGTGTCGGATGAACCCGGATTCGGGACGACCGAAGAAAGTTGCACCTTGGCCTCCTCCGAGCCGAAAACCAAAAGGCCGGAAGACGAGCAGACCACGCCGGATATAGTCAGGAAAGCGCCGCTCTCGCGAGAACTGTCGTCTCCGCCCAGCCTCCCAGAGACGCCCTTGCTGTCATGTTTCTTGTGGGCAGGCGCTTGAGGCTGATGGCTAGAGAGTCCAACACCGCGGTGAGCTGTGGCTAGGGATTCGGAGGGGAGGGTGGTTCGGGGAGTTCGCCCCGGCGGAGTCAGGGAAGAGGGGTCTGCTCCCGAGATCTAGGGCCCTGCTGTTCCCCTTGCTCCTTTATTGTGAGGGTCACCCTGAGGTCCCCGTCACCCAATCCCAGAGCCCCGCCCCTCCCCTGAGGAGTCCGCACCCCCATTCCGGCACCCCAGTACCCCGGCGATCCTGGGCCCCCTCTAACTCCTTCGTGCTGTGTGTGTTTTAGTTACCAAAACAATCTATTCCAGTCTAAATCCAGTCCAACTCTTAATTCTGAGATTCCGCGGTTCCCAGAGTCTCAGACTTCGTCATCCTGGTCTGCATGACTTTCTGAAATTGTGAGTTTCGGTCCCCAGCTCCTGCGTTTGGAGAAGACCGGACTCCGGCTCTGCCGGGGCCGTGCTGGGTGATCTATGATCGCGCGTCCATGACCAAGCCCTCCGAGTGATCAGCCTGCCTTAGGGTCCACCCGAGGGTTGCAACGTGGGGGCCATCTACAAAGCCAGGTTGGCCTCTGCCCACCCCAGCCGGGGAGGGATGGGTGTGGCTCTCCCCATCTGGGCTGGACGTCGTCAGGAGGGAAGGGATGAGGGATAGACATCTGGGGGCAAATTGGAATGAACTGATCTTCTAAGAGGGATGGGGGAGCGATGGTCATGGGGAGGGGGCATTGGGGAGGAGAAGGGGAGGGCTGGTCATAGGAAGCAGAGGGTAAGTGCTAGTCATCAGGGAGGGATGGGGGACGGCTGTTTGCAAACCATTCTCCAATCTTGCTGGCAGGTGGGTTGACAAGAGGGCCCTGAGCTGGCCCTGCAGGCCTGGCCACCTCCCCACACAGCTAACGCCCACAGGAGCAGACCTGTGGTCTCCTCCCCTCCCGCTGAGAACTGGGTGTGTCTTCGACTGCATCTCCTCCCCAAGCCTCTTCTCCCCTAGCTCCTGTGGTAGGCCCTGAATCAATGTTTGTTACACATGTGGTGCTTTGTGGCTGACATTGATTGAGTGCTCATTATGTGCCAGGTACTGTGCCATGTACTCTGCATATATGAAATCACTGGATCCTCACAGAACCCACTGTTGGTAGGATTACTACTCACACTTTACCAGTGAGGAGACTGAGGCTCTGAGGAGTGAACTAAGGTGATGCAGTTGATGGGCAGCAGATCTTGGATTCAAACCCAGTTATATTTTATCACACATCCTGTGCTGTTAGCCATACATTTCTTTGGATGGTTGCTTCCTGGCCTATTGCTGTCCTTATTGAGCACTAATATTTGCAGATACTGGGCAGGCAGTGAGCACCTCACTTCTGAGTTCAGGACAGTGTATTTCATGTGTGCCAAGTTACGTTAGCACAAAGGAAGGGCAAACTCCACAGAATCAGGACTGGAAAGACCAGAGACACAGGCTGGGTTTGCTACAATTCAAGCCATATAACCAGATCACTGAACTTAATAAGGGTCCGTTTCTTCACTCCAAACAGGGATTTGGTGAAAATCAAATGGAATAGTAAGTGCAAGGACTACTTTTTGGCTTTTATTTAACTCAGAGATCGCTTTAGTTATGACGTGCT